ACACTTAATCAAGAAAGCCACCCTCCACACAGCTGACAGATAAGCAGCCAGTTCAAGGTCACAGATGAAGTACCTTCGAGGCTCTTCACCCCAAAAGGCACAATTATCCGTCGTCACGGCTCAGCTTCTGTGGAGACCATCAACCTCATCTCTTTACACTCCTCACTCCCTCTCTCTCTCTCAGCAGGATTTAACTGAAGCATCCTGGATGCTTCCCCTGTGCCTCTTTCTTTTTCTTTTTTCCTTTTTCTCTCAGCAGCTGGCCCTCCTCCGCCTCCACTGCTCTCTGTCCGGGTTCAGCTCTGCACTAGCATCTCAGACAGTCTTTCTAGCACTTCCTAGGTATGTGCTTTCTTCATGTTTCTTTGGCTGCTGCACACATCTCTGGTGCTTCCCAGGCCAAATTGGAATGATCTGTTCCGTGTCTTTCTCTTTCAACAGATTACCATCTGCTCAGGGCAGGACCGTATTGTACTTAACATTTCAAACCCAGAATCTAGAGCGATTTCCGGCTTATAGAAGGTGCTCTATCCATGGTAGTGGAGCTGAAAACAACCAAATCAAATGTCGACAAAAGAAAACTCTGAGTTTTGTCAAAGCCTCTGGATTACAGGGCAGATCACACAGTGATTGGCTCTTTCGAATAGAAACACAGCAACATGTAACAGGCATCCGTTCTCCCTCACTTACCGTTTTTCCCATTTGTGAATACTCCCCGAGAGGGTGCCGGGGGCTGGGGGTGGGGGGTGGGGGTGGGGGAGTGGTGATCCAAAAAGGAAAGCGTACACAGATGTGCTGGCAGCTGTAGTAATGACGGGGAAGCTGGAAGCAGTCCAAGTGTCTTAACAGGGAAACGACTGAGCAAACAATGGGATTATTATATAGCTATTAAAAATGACAGAGGTGAGAACTGTCAACATAGAGAGTTATGTTCTGGCAGGAGTGTTAAGTGGAAAAAAGAACACAGGCCGGCGTTTAAGGATGTGTGTGCACAGTAATAAAGATCATAAGCCAGTCTGGGAAAAAAAAAAAAACTGAACATGGCTGCCGTCCGGAGTTCTCTGGGTGCTTGCTTTGGAGCCTGTAGGATTCCATCCATTCATGGCAGTAATAGCTGAGACCTCATGCAATCCAGCTACCCTTAAAGTATTGTGCAGAAGCTGGTGTGGTGGCTCATGCGTGTTATTCAAGCAAGTGGAGGCGGAGGCAGGAGGATTAGGATTTTGAAGGTTATCCTCTGCTATACAGTGAGTTTGAGGCTGGCACGAGTTGCTTAAAAACCTAGTCTCGAAAAACCGAGCAAAGCCTTGACATTGTGCTTACATCTTTAGTTCCAGTGGAGGCAGAAGCAGGCAGATCTCTGTTTGACGTGGGGAATGTTGAGGTAAGCCTTTTGGAGGCCCATAGGGATTGGTGAGTGAAGCGTCAGCAACTCCTACAGCTCCTCAACAGATCCTGACCCATTGCACACAGGGACTCCTAATGCGCTAGAGACGTCTCAAAATGGATCCAAGGCTAGGGTGGGGACTGCTTCCCCTTCTTTATGGAAGTCTTCTAAGCTGGCCTTGCCCCCCCACAACATTCCCCACATTTCTTTACAGTTGCACCAACTTAATTGATTATTGCTGGTCCTTGAGTCTATCATGGGATGGTCTGATTGGCCTTTCAGCTGTTTAAAGGCCTTTACACTGGACAATAAAGTTAGAGCAGCATCTTGAGTCTGGTCTCTGGAGCCTGATTTCCAGGATTGTGCGTGGCCTCTGTCCCCACTCACCCCTTTCCCCCGGTTTCTGATCCCCACAGTTTGAGGCTAGAAACGGCTACATTGTGAGTCCTTATCTCAGAAAACAACAACAAAACCCAAACATCACAGTTCTCAGGGGCTGGGGAGAGATGGCTCAGTGGTTAAGAGCACGTACTGCTCTTGCAGGGGACCTGGATTTGGTTCCCAGCATTCACCCCAGGCAGCTCACAACAGCCTCAGGTCCTTGTGCTTCACTCTGCCGTCCAGGCTGACCTTGACGTTTTAGCAACTATAATATTTCATCTTCCCTGTTCCTGGGATTACAGGTTTGTGCCACCATGCCCAGCCGTTCTGCGTCTGATCTCAAAAATACAAGAAGACACTGGGGCCATCCTGCTCTGTTAAGTCAATTCTGTAGGAGCTGTGACCAGAACACTTGGCTATGGACCAAAGTTTGACTGAGTTCAAGGGCAGCAGGGTGTATCAGCAAGTGGCATTGCTCTGATAAGGACAGATTGATACGAAAGTGAGGGGCTTAATGGAGTTCTGCAGTGCTAGAACTGTTGACACTTTCCAAATGAGGCAGAGGCAAGGGGATCAACACGAGTTCAATGCCAGCCTGTACTACTGGGCTAGCCAGGGGCTCCATAGTGAGACCCACTTCACAGACACGGAGTAAGAGAGTCCAAATGAACCAGGGAGGGCTTTTGCTTTGTTTTGTTTTGGAAACAGGGTCTGATGTAGCCCAGGCTGGATTCCACCTGGTGTTGGAATTACCAGTGGAAGCAGCCACTACGGTGGGTTTGTGGGGAGCTGACGGTAGAATCCAGGGCCTCCTGCACGCGAGTCTACTATGCCACGCCCAACCGGAGACATGAATCATTTAAATGAAAACCAGTTTGGACTTTCTAATCTGAAATCGAAAGCGTCAGACAAAGGCCCTTGGTGTGGCTGGGTGTGGTGGCTAAGCTCCAGCCATCTGTGACTGCTTTGGGGGTAGCTCTGGTGGCTCTCCACGCTCTGGTCTGGGACAGCACAGGAAGGTGCACTCATTTTCCCGCCTGCCTTACCTGTAGCAGGTTACTGTCCTTCAGGCCCTGACGAGGAACCTGTAGGCAGAAGGTACGCATCTGACCCTCTCGTGAGCTACAGCCCACGCTTCACGTGAAAACCCCTGAGGCCATCGTCTCCCTGCTGCCGTGGAAAAGTGTATAATTAGCTAGGGGTGCAGCTTGACCCCAGTGATTTTTCTGACGCATTTGGCCCGCAGAGTGCCCTTTCCGAGACCTCCTGTGTCTTCTGCACAGCTGGAGATGCCCCAAACTGCACGCAGCACTTCCTGTGGACGTGGCCTTGCATTCTTAGGAGCTCTTCGGTGCTGGGGTCACATGGTTTTGCTACTCTCAGACCCTCTACGCCCTTTGACACGAATGTCTCTATAAATCATAATTGAGTTTTCCAGCCTCTCCTATTTCTTTCTTAAAAAAGGATTCTCTGATGGAGTTCTCTCAAAGAAACACTCTAACTGGGCAGCCTGGGGCTTGTGGGAAAGCCTCTCCTATGGCGTCAGTAGCTATTCTCAGGAGAGGAAAGGCAGGGTATCCCCACTGGGAGATGACAGCACTTGTTTCAAGTTGGGGAAGAGCCTGTGGTTCTCTTCCGGCCTTTGGAGGGGAAAGCGAACACACAATGTTCATTTCCTAAATACGGGATGTGCTTTGCTAGCGACTCATTTTCCAACATGTCATATCCTGGCCAAAGGCAGCAGGGGTCAGGGCAGGAAACGGCAGCTTCTCAGAATGAGACAAGGCTCTCCCAGAGCAGCCATTGGCTCCTGGGAACTATAAAGCATGCTCATCCAGAAACGGTCTCCCACTTTTTTTTCCCGGAGGCCAGAGTGGAAGGTAAGTGGGAAGTGCAGGGGGATGCGTCTGAAATAGGGTTGGTGGCATGGGGGTCAACTCTTGGGCCATTGTGTTCTTGGGACGACTTTCCCCTCCTTCGTTCTTTTTGCCTGAAAGCTTCTTACCAGTCAGACAGATCATGGAGGTCAGCAAGGAACAGTGTTCTACACAGGGCACTGAGAAGCACCCGCTGGGCTTGTAGCCCGTCTCTAAAATCCTTCATCTTAACATACGACAGTGAGCTCTGGCTGTGCGTGCTGGTGCAAGCCTGGAGACCTAGCACACAGCGGGAGGAGGCTGGAGAATCAGGGGTTCGAGGCCAGCTTCTTAAAAAAAAAAAAAAAAACAAATGGAGAGAGCTCAAAATATTTAATAACTTCTGCCCGATCTCTCTGTCCTGCTATGATCTCTCTGTGACTTACTTGATACATTTAAGAAGTGCTGACTGCTGGAAAGTGCAGCTGGTATGAAAGTGGGGGTCTCTGGCAACCAGGGCAATTGCACTTTGACCCAGGTGTGTCCAGCTTTCTCCATTAGTCACCTTTTCAGTGAGTTGCTATCCCCTACCCCACCCCCTGTTTATTTTTTTGCCTTGAGACAGGTTATGTAGCCTTGGGTGGCTTAGAACTCAATATATAGACCAGGTTAGCCTTGAACTCTTAATGATCCTGCCTCTGCCTCTCAAGTGCTAGGATTAGAGGGAGGGAGAGAGAGAGAGAACCTCAAATCCCTAGGACACAGCTCTCCACATAAGGGACACAGTCTGTTGCACGCACAGCCTGCCACTTTTAAGGTGCTTTCTTTTTGTTGGTCCCTGCTTGCCAGAGGCGGGAGGAGGGGGATAGGATGGGGGTGTCATGCCAGGCAACGGCACTAGGGTCATCTTGAAAACAGAGCAAAGTGTCGGTATTGGAGCAGCCATCTTCCCGCTTAAATCTTATTTGCCTGAGGGTGAAGCCCATAGATCCTGTTCCCTGGGAGAAAAACGGAAGACAGCATTATCTCTTTGCATGCACAGCTAACGGTTTCTGAGAACTTGTGTTTATTTTCCCAGACTCAAGGCCAGGCCTCTGAAACAAGGCCCATGACCCAGTGGTAACCAACCTACTGCCCTGTTCCCCTGTCCTGAGTGGTAGTAGCGGCTCTTTATGTATTTATTCCTGTTTTCATTTCCGCGGCATTGGGATTGAATCTAGGCAAGCGCTCTACCATTAAAGCTACACACACACACACCCAAGCCCAAGGTCTGTTTTGTATTTGAGGACTCCCTCTCGTGCACCGGCAAGCTCTAGCCTGGGGCAGCGGCGGGCGCGGAGGTTGGGGCTAACTGCGCGTCTGTGTCCCCACAGGGCATGGAGAGGCGGGCGGCCTGGGAGCCGCAGGGCGCCGATGCGCTGCGGCGCTTCCAAGGACTGCTGCTGGACCGCCGCGGTCGGCTGCACGGCGAGGTGCTGCGCCTGCGCGAAGTGGCCAGGAGGCTCGAGCGTCTACGCAAGCGCTCCCTGGCGGCCAACGTGGCTGGCAGCTCCCTGAGCGCCGCGGGCGCCGTGGCCGCCATCGTGGGGTTGTCACTCAGCCCGGTCACCCTGGGGGCCTCGCTCGTGGCGTCGGCCGTGGGCCTGGGGGTGGCCACGGCCGGAGGGGCAGTCACCGTCACGTCCGACCTCTCTCTGATCTTGTGCAATTCCCGGGAGGTGAGGAGGGTGCAGGAGATCGCCGCCACCTGCCAGGACCAGATGCGCGAGCTCCTGAGCTGCCTGGAGTTCTTCTGTCGGTGGCAGGGCCGCGAGGACCGCCAGCTGCTGCAGAGCGGGAGGGACGCCTCCATGGCCCTTTACAACTCCGTCTACTTCATCGTCTTCTTCGGCTCGCGTGGCTTCCTCATCCCCAGGCGCGCCGAGGGCGCCACCAAAGTCAGCCAGGCCGTGCTGAAGGCCAAGATCCAGAAACTGTCGGAGAGCCTGGAATCCTGCACCGGCGCCCTGGATGAACTTTGTGAGCGGCTGGAGTCTCGGGTCCGGCTCTGCACCAAGGCCGGCCGTGGCCACGACTTGAGGATCTCTGCTGGGCAGGATGCAGCGTTGCTTTTCTAAGAGCATCCTGTAACTGTATTCTGGATTCGTAGCATCCACAGAGAAATGCCACATGGGTGGAGGGCAAAGGCTGACAAACTGTTTTTGTGGGGCGTTGTGTGAGAAAGACTTTTTCACTTGTGTAATCCCAATTGAGTATGTGACCCTAAACACTCACTTTGGGGCGTGGGGAGTAGTGTCAAAAAAACCTTTTTGGTTGCACACAGCCGGGCAGACTCTTTAGGGTTATTGATGGTTTGAGCTGGGTTCTGGAGAGGTGTCTCCCTCTGGGACCTCGTTAAGTTCTTACTAGAATCCCGAGGTTTTCAAATGTTGGCGAGAGGAGAGTTTTACATTTCAACTTTGCTTCTGCAGTTTCTGTTACACAACTCCAGAATCCAGAACAAGAAAGACCGTTCTGGTCGTTGTCGGAGTTGTACACCTACACTGGGCCGAGGAGCCGGCTCACTCGGGTCTTCCCAGCCCAGTCAGACCCCACTCACAGACAGACCCAACCTGGCTTTTCCAGAATGGGCTTCAAACCTACGCCTCCAGGTACTCTGAGAGGTAAAGCCCCCCGAAGAGTCACTTGAATTCCAATATCCACACCCTCCACTTCTATACAAAAAGCTGAAGGGGGAAAGGAGGACGTCCCTAACAATTTCAGTGACTGACATGGCAGGCATAGGGGAGTGGGCCAGGGCAATTGAGTCAAGCCGTCCTGGATCTATCACAGGCTTCCGCTGGTACCCTGTGACTCACTCACCTTGCTGAGGCTTGACTTCTTGTTCAGTGAGACAGATGGCGGTAAGCGCTCAGCCTGTTGCAAAGCTCTGAGACAAGAAGGACAAGCTTGGAGTCTAGCTCAGGAAATGTAGTTCCTGGCCTGGCTCCTGACTGCCCATCACTTGGGGGCTTGCTGGAAAGGTCAACTGTTAGGCCGGGTCCCAGATTTATGAACTCAGAACCTGTAGCTGTGAGGCCTGCCATCGGCTGATTCTGACGCCCCGTAAGGTTTGAAAACGGCAGCAAATGTTCATCTCCAGCCAGGTGTGGTGGGACACACCAGTAAGCCCAGCACTTGGAGGTGAAGACGGGGACCAAGAGTTCAGGGCCATTCTTGGCTACGTAGTAAACTCAAGGTCACTCAGGATTGTGAAGCCCTGGTCTCCAAAACCAAAAGAAATTAACTTCTGGCTCCCTTCAGTTGTTCAAAGTTGTTCAGTTGTGGCCTTCAGAGTCACTGACAGGAAGTCCAGGACAGACTGCCTCAGAAATCAAAGACTGTGCTGTGTGCTGTCAAGCCATTTACTCTGTCCCCTAAGAACTAGGGACAAACACCACTTGCCCTGTAGAAGGCAGTGTTGCCCGATCCGTGGAGGAACTGGTGCAGAAAGGAATGTGAACATACCAGGAAAAAAAAAAAATCTTCCTCCATTCTCTGAAAACTCTGACAACATATCTTTATTTATTTAAAATGAGTTATTTAATTACTGCCTGTTATTTACATTTAATTTTATTTAACTATCACATTTAGAAAATAATGAGAAGAGCAAGTGTCTGGATGGGAGTCTCTTAAGGCTGTTTTTTTTTTTAGGAGGTCAAGTTTGAATTTCTTAAAGAGTCGTTTTTTCCTCAGGGAGGACGCTCTCCTCTAGTGTTTTTACATGGTCCTTGTAAGTAACGGGAGTCCTGACTAGAGAGACTAAGCTGGCCTTTAAGCTAGTAAAGGGAGTCTTGAGTTGTGAATGATGATGAATGACTAGGTCTATGTGTCCTAAAGGTACTTTGCCAGAAAACACTTGACTTGAAGAAAGAAAACCTGTGTAATTCAGGGTTGGGGGAGATAGAGACAGGAAGCATTTAGACCTTGGAAACCTGACGTCCTATGAAATTCTGTCCCATAAGACTGTGTTATGGTAGAGATACATTTTATTTTGACTTTGGGGCTATAAGAAACCTGTTTAAGTACTTTTAATTTATTCAATGCCTTCCTAAATTATCCTTTGAAAAAAGTCGGAAACTCTTTGGGATCATACCCAAGAAACCTGTATTTTAAAATTATTTAATGTTAAACATTTGTACAACTCTATACTTCCCAATGATGGCTGTGTGTCTGAGGAAATGTAACTTTGGCATGAGGGGCAGGGACTGCTGTTTCTATGTTTGTTTTCTTTTACTATAAATTATAATTGAGCTAAATCCTGGTTTGATTTGACACTGAGAGTGTTTTGTTGTTGTTGTTTGTTTTGTTTTTGACCCTGTCTTTCTCTAGATGGCTCTGGTTGTCCTGGAACTCCTCTTAGGTAGACCAGGCTGGCCTCAGACTCAAAGAGATCTGTCCACCTCTGTCCCCTGAGTGCTGGGGTTAGAGCGGTGTGCCACCATGCTCAGCTTGTTTTTTTGTGTTTGTTTATTTGTTTGTTTGCAGGCTGCCTTGTATGCGATCCTGATGTATATTTCACACTGTCCTGTCATGTCACTCAGCAAAAGCCATTACCTGATGCCATCATGCAGCATGTTTCATCTTGGATTATAATTTCTCTGATACTGAGCTGTTCCATATAAACCAAAATGGCAGTATTTTGGGTATAGCAAAGTACTAAACTTTGAACTTTATGTCAGTGTTCTGCTTTGTGCGTGTATGGAGGAGAGTCTTATTATCAACTCAGCCTACAACCAAAGCATGGTGGCAGAAGGATTTATTTAGAGTTTGAGTTCCAGGGCACCTGAGCCTCATAATGAGGCCTTATCTCAAAAACAAAGCATAACAACAGCAAAAACTGAAAACACACTTGAGTAATTCACCATTTGGCTGTATTATAAAGAACTAGGTCATTCTCTTTCCTATGTGTGTACATATTGTGAGAATAGGAGGCTTTGGCAGGGCTTAGCAAAGGTCAGTACAATTGATCCTAGAGACAGGTGGTTTATTTCTTTCACGGAACTGTAAAGTGGGCTTTCCCTTATGGCCTTCATGCTATAAGCAAGCAGTTTTGGAGGGGTTTGTTGCAGAAGAGAAAAGAAAGAAAAATGCCAGGGTTTGGAAAATACGTGTTTATTGTAAATGTTGGGATGTTTCTGTGTTCCCTTCTTGGCTTTATAATTACTTGGTGGTTTTGTTTCACAAAAGGAATACATTTGCTCTGCATCTTAGAGCTCCAGTGCAGCAACATTCTATTTCATTAAGAAATAATCCTTGGGGCTGGAGAAATGGCTCGGCAGTGAAGGGCACTTGTTGTTCTTACAGAGTACTGAGGTTCAATTCCCAGCACCCACATGATAGGTCACAACTATCTATAACTCCAGTTTCAGGGATGCTCTCTTCTGACCTCCACAGGCACCAGCCATGCACATGGTACACATACATGTGGGCAAAATATTCATATATACAAAATTAAGAAATTCTTAAAAAGACAAGAAAGAAAGAACCTTTAATGAGCATTTTGACCCCAACTCCTATGTATATGCCCCAAACACCTGCCATTTCCAATATGGTGGATGTCAAAGGTAAAAGTATTTGCTGGGGTGGAGGGAGAGAAAGGAGTGCCAAAGAGACCATTTTAGAGTGGGTACGTCAAACAGTCAACTTCATGTATCTCTCCTTCACTAGCTTGGTATGGAAAAAAAGGGAAAGAGGCTGTGCAGAGGCTGAAGCCATGGCTCAGCGGCCGAGAGTCTTCACTGTTCTTTCAGGAAAGCCCAGTTTGGTTCCAGCACCTATTTCAGTTGGCTTTTAACTATGTGGACCTCCAGCTTCAGGGCACTTAATACCTTCTTCTGGCCTCCGTGGGCACCTCATACCCTCAGAGAGATGAAAAATAAGTCTTGAAGAAAAGGTTGTACAGAGATACGCGGTGATGGAGCTGAATGGAGCAGCCTGATTCTCTTCTTCCACAGCACTAAATCAGTTCTTCCCTTTCTATTGGGGTAAAGCGGCTCAAGCCAAAAAAAAAATTTTTTTTTCTAAACTACTAGTCGGATGTTTGTCTTTGAATGCTTTTAAATTATATGAATCAACTGTTTACTCAAATGGTATACCGGAATTCCTGTGTTGTTTAGAAAGCAGGCTTCTAGGATCTTAAGAACTTGAAAGTGATCCCAGCACTCAGATGGCTGAGACAGGAAGAATGTTAAGTTCTAGACTAGTCTAGGCTGCATAGTAAGGCCCTGGCTTTGCAAAGAAGGAGGAAGAGGAGGAGGAAGAGAGGGAGGGCAGCAGAAGCAACAACAATAACTCAAAACAAGACCACACCCTCACCCTGGTATGGAGGTGCTTGCCTTTAACCCTAGCATTCAGAAGTGGAGGTGGGAAGATCAGGAATTTAAGGTCAGCGTTGTCTATAGATGCCAGCCTGAGCTACATGAGACCCTCTCAAAAAACTGAAAGCATTCAAAATGATCAGTTGTGGCCAAGTTTGGTATTTATTCCTATAATTCAAGACCTAGGGAGCCCCAGATAAGAGAATAAAGAATTCAAGACTAGCCTGGTCTACAGAGGCCTATCTGACAAAGGAAAAGCTCATGCTGTGCTTGCCACATGCAGTTGGGACTTATGCTCTGGAGTGATGTCACTCCAACTGGCCATCTATACACCTGCGCCTTGGAAACTCTCCTGGGCCTAGAAGTTGCATTGGTCTGTGTCAGCCTGACTCTGCCACAGCCAGCCACAAGCTAGAGTCCTGTCTTTGCTGAGGCACACAGAATTCCTGTGGTAACATGCATCCTTCCTGTTAACAGCAACAAATCTCTCCTTGATAGGAGGTTGGAAAGCTACTTTTGCTCCCGACAAACTTGTAAGAGGGAAGGGAAACCCTGTGTGGGCTGGCACTGGACAAGGAGAGCCCTAAGCTCTGAATGCTCTGAGTTGTCAGAAAGGAAGTTGTGCTGATAGAGTGAGTCCTATCTGGGGACCCAGGAATGCATATCTGGGATCCTCAGCAGTCCTTGCCTGACTGGCGCTGACACTGGGCTGTGGCGAGAGTGGCTTTGTTGTGGTCTTACTGTTTAATGGTGTTTTGTATCTCTACTGTAACACCCTGCCCATCCCCAAAATCCTCATACTCGCCCCTTTTCCCTCACACACACTCCACAACCTTACTCCCCTCCTAGCCCCTACCCCTTCACCCAAAGCGGATTGCAAAAAGGCCTTATGTCTTCTTGGTCCCAGAGCTGTAGCCAGGTCCACTGCCAGGGGCTCTGGCTCCCAGTTTATGGCTGGACACTGACTAGTTCCCATGGCCAAGTTTATGAAGACAGTTGAAACAGAGAGGCTGTTTAATGAGGTAGAACTGGGAGGGAGTCCTGCCTCAAATCTTTCTCACAGGCAAAAGCTGCTTTTTCTAGGTCAGCACCCCTGTCCTCACCTTATGATCACAATTGAACTCTCACAATGTAATTGAAAACTATGATTGTTTTTTGCTTTTGTTTTTAAGCTAGGTTTGGTGGTGCTTGCACAGAATCCCAGCACTTGGGAGGTGAAGGCTGGAGAATCACGAGCTCAAGCAGAGCTTCAACTTCACAGTAAATGAGGTCAGCTTGGGCTAAGACCCTGTCTCAAAACACAAACAAACAAAGCCATTACATTTTCTCAGTGCTTATAAAATTATATTCTGGCAAAATATAAAGCCCTTCTGGTAAGGTATTTAATAATCATAGCTAACAGTTATTAAGAGCTTACTCTACTGTTCTAAGTACAATTTGACTATATTATCTCATTTAATTTACAATAATCTTATCAAGTGGACAGTCTAGTTACCTTGTATTGTTAGCTAGAGTGAGGAACTATTCGGGCACCCAAGGAGAGTAACCCAGGATTTGAATTCAGGAATGGTCTGATTCTAGAGTTATGCTCTTAGCTGTCCTACTAGTGAATAGATTTCTGCCCAACATGGTGGCTCATGTGTCTAATCCTAGCACTCTGAAAGGTGAGACAGGGAGATTTATGAGTTCATGGCCAACCTGGGCATGAAGTAGCAAGCAAGCAAGGAAGAAGAAAGAAAGGAAGGAAAGAGAAGAAAAGAAAGAAAGAAAACCCAAAACAAAGGGTGAGGCTATTGTGAAAAACAAAAACAAAACAAAAGCCTGGTATGACAAGATGGAAAGAGCAGGAATTTTACTGACTGCTGAAGTGAGGAGACCTTGGGTGTCAGCAGAGACACCACAGCCATGAAGACAGGGGTTACTGGATATACCGGACAGTTTTATGTCAACTTGACACAAGCTAGTGTCATTTGGGAAGACAGAACCTCAATTGAGAAAATGTCCCCACCGAAATGACCTGTGGATAAAAGCCTTCGGCCCACTTTTGATGCTGTTTGATGACCGATGTGGGAGTGCCCAGCCCACGGTGGGTGCGGCCACCCCCGGGGGTCCTGGAGGATATAAGAAAACAGGCTGAGCAAGCTGGGGAGGAACCCAGTCAGTAGCACCCGGTATGCTTCTTTCTGCTTCAGTCCTTCACTCCAGTTTCCGCCTTGAG